CTCTCTGGGCAACCTGCTCCACTGCTTGAATGTCCTCATGGTGGACATGGTACTTCCTTTGGGGAAGGTACTGGAGGCAACCACTGCCTCTTCCTTCCCCCCGGACTAGGGCTAAGTGACAACATAGAGCAGAGCTGCTTTACACCAGGCTCCTGGGTTCCATTTATTCTTTGTCCACAGGTTTACAGCAGTGATACATATATACGCAATGTAATGCTATACATATATACACATCATAATTGGTACTAGTACTGTAGATGACCCCGTGGTATTGCCTGGTTCTACAGAACACAGACCCAAACTTCAGTAAAATTGTCGATGGGGAGGCCCCAGGGACTCTCAATGCTCACTTCGCTGGCAGTGCAGGGGAGGCACTAGCAGTAACACAGCACTCCTTCTACCTTTTTCCCTTCCCTACAAATGAAAAATTCTGAGTAATCATAAACTTATCCTGTAGGACACATCACACATCACTGCAATCACTCCAAGCAGTTGGAGCAAACATGCAAAGTAACTGCTCCCTGCATGAATAAAAAGCTGGAATACATGGGCCCAGTAACTGTTAAAACCAAGCACATGGCCAGAATAAATAGTTTCCAAAAAGACTATACATAGCTGGCCATTAGAGAAACAGCTTATTGCTTTTTGGTCTAAATGGTATTATTTCATCATATTGATGTGAACTCACCTCCCCTCTCTTCATCTTCCCCCTTAATTTCCTTGTGTAGTACACATTCCCTTAACTCAGCCACTTCACTGTCCCTACCACTTAGGTACAAAAGCTTATAGCCAAATAAAACTGTTCTTTATGACAAAAAATTTTCCATGATGTAGCAGTCACGACAGATCAAGAAGTCAAGTAGGAAGGTTAGCAGAAAAATTGTTTAGTAGACCTAAAGGTAAACTGCTAAAGGAAGATGAACTTTCAGGTCAAACTTGACTATGACGGCTGCTGTTTCTGCTGCTGACTGAAAGTGCTGACACTGTGAGAGAATCAATCCTCTGTACGACAGAGGAACGACAGATGCTACAGAAGCCATGGTCTATTGTAAAGCTCTGCAGTAAAGTTTAAAACTAAATTAAATGCAAAAATTAAAAAGGCAAATAAATAAGCACAACCTCCACTGATTCTTTGCTCTTTACCTCCTAAGCAAATTAGCTGAACTCATTTTAGCATATCCACTATTACCATACTCATTTTAGCCCATTAGCATAGGAGATAATTGTTTTTAAAACTGGTGATGACGGACAGAACATTCCTGAAAGCTTGGCTTTATGCCTGCAAGAATCTACTCTCAAAACACTCTCATTCAACAAAGTGCTTCCCATTATGCCATTTAAAAAATAACCATATTTTATTGCTAAGATCTTTCTAACAAATGTTTTAGCAGTAGCTATCTTGGAAGTAAAGTAAGTAGTTACTAGACTTGGCTCAATCTCCTGAAAATTACGAACTAGTATCAAGGCAAGATTAACTTCTGAAGATTTCAGCAGG